CAGACACATCACAGATCAAGACAGTGAACAAACAGGTACAACTGTGCATACCTGCACGTTTGACGCGGGTTATTTCCTTGGGTTGGTTCCTGGTTGGCAATTAGTTGTGTGGTGTGTTGGTTGGTTGTTGGTTGTGTGGTGTGTTGGCTGCTTGTTGGTTGTGTGGTGTGTTGGTTGGCTGTTGGTTGTGTGGTGTGTTGGCTGTTGGTTGTGTGGTGTGTTGGCTGCTTGTTGGTTGTGTGGTGTGTTGGTTGGTTGTTGGTTGTGTGGTGTGTTGGTTGGCTGTTGGTTATGTGGTGTGTTGGTTGGCTGTGTGGTGTGTTGGTTGGCTGGTTTGTTGTGTGGTGTGTTGGTTGGCTGGTTGGTTATGTGGTGTGTTGGTTGGCTGTTGGTTGTGTGGTGTGTTGGTTGGCTGTTGGTTATGTGGTGTGTTGGTTGGCTGTTGGTTGTGTGGTGTGTTGGTTGGCTGTTGGTTGTGTGGTGTGTTGGTTGGCTGGTTGTTTATGTGGTGTGTTGGTTGGCTGTTGGTTGTGTGGTGTGTTGGTTGGCTGTTGGTTGTGTGGTGTGTTGGTTGGCTGTTGGTTATGTGGTGTGTTGGTTGGCTGTTGGTTGTGTGGTGTGTTGGTTGGCTGTTGGTTGTGTGGTGTGTTGGTTGGCTGTTGGTTATGTGGTGTGTTGGTTGGCTGTTGGTTGTGTGGTGTGTTGGTTGGCTGTTGGTTGTGTGGTGTGTTGGTTGGCTGTTGGTTGTGTGGTGTGTTGGTTGGCTGTTGGTTGTGTGGTGTGTTGGTTGGCTGGTTGGTTATGTGGTGTGTTGGTTGGCTGTTGGTTGTGTGGTGTGTTGGTTGGCTGTTGGTTATGTGGTGTGTTGGTTGGCTGTTGGTTGTGTGGTGTGTTGGTTGGCTGTTGGTTGTGTGGTGTGTTGGTTGGCTGTTGGTTGTGTGGTGTGTTGGTTGGCTGTTGGTTGTGTGGTGTGTTGGTTGGCTGTTGGTTATGTGGTGTGTTGGTTGGCTGGTTGGTTGTTGGTTGTGTGGTGTGTTGTTTTCGTGGGGAAGTAAAGTAAAGGACCTTTTTCCACACCTCCAGGCATATGTAATGGGGGATATTTTCACCCTGATTAGGAAGGTTGGGGGGGGGGGGGAGCCCCAAGCTAACAATAATACCGAGAGAAGCCAGATACTTCGATTAAACGAGGTTTTCAAGATAGGGGACGACCACGAGTTATCACGTTGAATTAAATGATAACGACCACAGGCCGCCACGTGGAACCTAAGGACAACCACGTGTTGCCACGTGGAACGAACACTGGGTATACAGTGTTGCCACTTTGGATCTTTTGTATCCAAATTTAGATCTTTTTCATTGCGTTTAGATCCTGTTTTTGACGTTTAGATACTAAATATTTTTCTAGATTCTTTTCATATGGAGTTAGATATTTTATAGATTTTGTTTTCTTTTAGTGTCATTTTAATAATTATTGAGTAAAATATTTACTAAAATATTTTTGTTTTGGTCTGGCACGTACATTGTGGCAACTGCCATTACTTAAACTTTGAACTCTCACTAAGGTCAACACTCAAATATCTGACAACCCCGGTGCTGATTAATCGAAATCGCGCGTAAATCATACTAACTTTGTTTCAACCGTATCCTCACTGTGTTATGAAGTATAGCTGTGATGCTGACTCTGTGTTTCTTTCTCATGTGATTTTTGAAAAAATAATTGCTCACCTTCTTGTGTGGCTTTCATTTTGAAAAAACCTTTCAACATGCCAAAAGTAAAGTATGAGCAAAAATTTCGTAGAGTGGTTGCATGATGACAAAATTAAAGACTGGGTGATGGCAGTTCATGGGGATATAACCAAGGCTCGTTGTAAGTACTGCAAGTGTGAAATTAAAGCGAAAATACAAGACTTAAAGAAGCATGCAGAGACTAACAAGCATAAAACTGCAGTTCCATTTAAAGATATTACACCGCTTACATCTGTTTTCAGAACTACACTGATAAATGAATCTTCAAAAGTTGAAGGGTCGGTCGCAATGTTTTTAAGTTGCCATTGTGCAATTTCAAACTGTGACCATTTGATTGATTTGTTTAAAAACACAATTTCTGACAGTAAAGTTATGGATGATGTGAAAATGCATCGCAGTAAGTGTACACATATTATAAGAAATACTTTATTTTCTCACTTCGAAAAAGATTTGATCAGTGATATTTCTACAAATAAATATAGTTTATTATTAGACGAATCAAATGATATTTCGGTACTGAAAGTGCTTGGTGTGTGTATTATATATTACAGCAACAATACAGACAAAGTAGTTTCTACATATCTTGGACTAGTTCAATTGGAAAAGTGTGACGCAGAAAGTATAGTTCAAGAACTGAAGAACCTTTTAATCAGCAAACAGTTAGACTTGGCAAATTTGGTTGCAATTGGTACCGATAATGCCTCAGTGATGGTTGGTATAAACAATGGCGTTTATGCCAAGTTGAAGGAAGCTATCCCATCGTTAATACTTATAAAATGTGTGTGTCATTCATTGCAGCTAGCATTATCACATGCTTCATCTAAATGTTTACCAAGGAATTTGGAATACCTTATTGCTGAAACACATAACTGGTTTTCAAAAACATTTGTCAGACAACAGCAATACAATGCATTGTATTCAGCCTTAAATAATGGTTCCACACCACTGAAAATTCTGTCAGATTGCAAAACCAGGTGGTTATCAATACAACCAGCTGTTGAAAGAATTGTGAACCAATGGTTGGAGTTAAAGACACACTTTGAAATAACAAGACAAAGTGAAAAGTGCTACACAGCTGAGATACTACATGGAATGTACAGTGATGAAAAAAATTTGGCATTCCTTCTCTTTTTACAACCTATTCTAATGGAAGTGCAAAAAGTTAATAAACTGTTCGAATCCAAACATGTTGATAAAGTTAAATTACTTGACGATCTCACTTTGCTATTTTACTCAGTTCGTAAAAGACTGGTGTTGCCAACTTCAAAAGTTGATTTGCTCACTTGCACTATAGAGAGCTATTTGGCTCCTAAGCCATACCTTGGATATCAAATTGAATCAAAAATTGATGATTTAAAAACAAAAGGACTGTTAACAGAGAATGAAGAGAACAACCTAAGAAAATACTGTCACGATTTCATTATCTCATTGTTCAAGCAACTAAAGCAGAGACTTCCTGAAAATCTAGATGTACTGAAACATATTTCACTCTTTTCTGTGAGCAACATACTTCAGCCAGTAAAGGACATACCTAAATATTGTAAAGTTATGAAATTTTTAGGGGCTACTGACAATAGTGTCGCGGAAGCAGAATATCAGTTAACCAAAATAAACTTAGTTGAATGGACAAACAAAACAGAAACTGAAGCGTTTTGGAGTGAAGTGAGACAATTTAAAGATGCCTCATCAAACAGTCCATTTTGTAAACTCTTTGAATGTGCCATGTCTGCCATGATACTACCCCACTCAAATGCTGACGTAGAAAGAGTTTTCAGTGCTATGAATTACATCAAATCTAACCTAAGAAACAGGATGAAATTAGACCTCTTAAATGCTATCTTGACAATAAAGTTTGGCCTGATGAGAGTAGGAAAAAGCTGTTCCACTTATCAGCTCCCTGATTGTGTATTAAAAGAAATAGGAACAGCTAAAGCATACCAGAGTCATTTGGGATCTGAAGCTTCAACTTCATCATCCAAGCTAAGTTTATCCTGTGGATCTTGTGAAGCAGGCATCAGTGAAGATGAGGACATGTGTCTATAGGGTAAGTCATTTCCATAGTTTTGTAATTTGTGACTCTTTTCATTTGGATATTTTTTAAAAATATTTCCATGCAAATTTAGATCTTTTTAGATATTTTTTAAACCCCGTTTTGGATCTTTTGGGTCAAAGAAAAGTGGCAACACTGTGGGTATAGTTCAGACCCCAGTCTGGTCAAGTTAGTATGTGTTAGTATGTGTTGACCGTCAGAGCGAGAGGACGTGAGAGTGTTCATGAGAATGACAACGTGAGACTGATTGTTGCGAGAGGAAGACCAGACGACAACATCCAACGAAGTCAAGTCCAGCCAAGCCAAGTAGTGTGAAATGACCAGACCCGTCTATGCGGCGATGTGGAAGTGAAGGCAGCGAACTCTGGTCGATGAATGTGAGAAGTCAGCATGTTAGCGTCTGAACGATGTGGTGTCTGCAAGCTGTGAACTAGGACACGGACAGGACATTCGATGTAAGTGATGAGATGTCAATAAACTGTATCGTACTTCGAAGTCGGTGTCGGCTTGTCCCAGTTATGTCATCTTAAGAATGTGTGCTAAGAGCATTCACTAGACACATCATCTCCTAGACAACCAGCCCAAGGTCATCAACTACTTACTGCAGGTAGAAGACGACTTGTTGCATTGATCATATAGGGCTGGACATAGAGTTTATAGACCGAATGGCACTAGGTGAGTGATGTGGCCAAGCAACGATTAGCCAGGTCAGCCTGTGTCTTGATGCCTATTTAAAATGATCAGTGTCTTTCTATAGGTGCCAATCAACGACATTACCTGTAGTTATCCTGTTTCCGTTCTATTACACGGAAAAAGAAAGGGAGGGTGGAAGAATTCCCGCCCATTACGTTCCCACGATCGATACCATTAAAGCAGCTATTTTCTCGCTGTCGAAATACCCAATTTAACAGGTATTGATTATCAACTATCTCTGAAACGGAACGAATCCAGTTTGCCTTCATTGACCCGACTTTGCAGGAAAATTGCAAATGCAGAAATGAATGAAGTTAAACCCTACCAGGAATGCACAACAAGTGATACACAACCGGTGACACAAAGTACCACTATTCGGATGAGAATCACCCGGGCCAAAGTCCGAGAAACTCCGTTCAAATATTATTTTATACTAGAGACCCCGACAACATTTGGAGTGGGACTTTCAAAAAACGCAAAAGTGCGTCCCACACTGGGACAGCAAAACAAAGTGTGACATACCTCTCGTGCTGTCCGAAAGAAACTGCAAGGTCTTGATGGTTATCCAGAGAGACTGACGCTCCGATGTTATAGAACTGAGCTTTGCTGGCAGCCAGGAGCTCTACAGCACTCTTCCTGTTTTGTCCTGTATGTGAGAATATCATTAACATAAATTTTAATCTTCGGAAAATCATTGTGGGCTATGACATAAGTCGATTAATATTTTCAGGTGTAAGGATGGCTATCCGGAAAAATACACGAGACAACAGACAAATAGAAAGTTTCTAAGCACTGTCGTCTCCGACATGACTTGTTAAGATCAACGTTGCTGCTGTTCAACGCAGCTACTAAAAAGGAAAAGTTTCAACTGAACACAACTAATAAAATATCAAAGTTGCCTTTACAACTAAACAAATATTAAAGTTGCCGTTCAATACAACTAAAACATAAAAAAGTTGCCGTTCAATACCACAAAACATCAAAGTTCTGTTCAATACTACTAAAACATCAAAGTTACCTTTAGCACTACTAAAATTTCAAAGCTGTCGTTCAACGCTACTAAAACATCAAAGTTACCTTTAGCACTACTAAAATGTCAAAGCTGTCGTTCAACGCTACTAAAACATCAAAGTTACCTTTAGCATTACTAAAATGTCAAAGCTGTCGTTCAACGCTACTAAAACATCAAAGTTACCTTTAGCATTACTAAAATGTCAAAGCTGTCGTTCAACGCTACTAAAACATCAAAGTTACTTTTAGCACTACTAAAATGTCAAATCTGTCGTTCAACGCTACTAAAACATCAAAGTTACCTTTAGCATTACTAAAATGTCAAAGCTGTCGTTCAACGCTACTAAAACATCAAAGTTACCTTTAGCACTACTAAAATTTCAAAGCTGTCGTTCAACGCTACTAAAACATCAAAGTTACCTTTAGCACTACTAAAATTTCATAGCTGTCGTTCAACGCTACTAAAACATCAAAGTTACCTTTAGCACTACTAAAATTTCATAGCTGTCGTTCAACGCTACTAAAACATCAAAGTTACCTTTAGCACTACTGAAATTTCAAAGCTGTCGTTCAACGCCACTAAAACAGCAAAGTTACCTTTAGCACTACTAAAATTTCAAAGCTGTCGTTCAACGCTACTAAAACATCAAAGTTACCTTTAGCACTACTAAAATTTCAAAGCTGTCGTTCAACGCTACTAAAACATCAAAGTTACCTTTAGCACTACTAAAATTTCAAAGCTGTCGTTCAACGCCACTAAAACAGCAAAGTTACCTTTAGCACTACTAAAATTTCAAAGCTGTCGTTCAACGCCACTAAAACAGCAAAGTTACCTTTAGCACTACTAAAATTTCAAAGCTGTCGTTCAACGCTACTAAAACATCAAAGTTACCTTTAGCACTACTAAAATTTCAAAGCTGTCGTTCAACGCTACTAAAATAGCAAAGTTCTGTTCAACATTACTAAAACATAAAATTTGCTGTTGAACCCAACAACAAAAAACAGCAACTCACCACTATTCTTTAATGCCAAGTCTTTCTGCAGTGTGATTTTGTGTGGCCTCACTTAACTGTTATATTAGCCCATTACATGCTGTTACTTTAATTCTGTGTTAGTTACTATTTACACTCCAGAATTTAAAGTAATGACTATTTATAATAGCCAGTTTCCTTTGTGTAAACAAAATGAATAGGTGATAAATGAGAAACTATGGTGGTAATCCTCAACTTCCGGTGGAGATGTTAACAGTGTAACTTGACAATTTGACTTGCGTGTCCTGGTGCAAAGGGCTCATTTTGTGTGTGTCATTATATGTTGGTACAACACTGCAGTAATGCAAATGACGAAATACAGCGAAATATGCCGGACAATAAATTGTGCAATGTATACACACAGGCAGAATGTATTATTTGCGTCTGCAAAAAAAAAATTGCAATGCACTGTTTATGCTTGCATATTTAAATTTATAACGGAAAAATAGAGTACTTTGAACAGAACAAATAAGGGTTAAAATGCGTGGTACTGAAAAGGTTCAGACAGGATAAGGTCGACTCTCCTATGTGGTGCAGAAGCCTGGACACTGAGCAGGCAATTAGAAAGTCCCACTGAGGCTGTGGAAGTGTTAAAAATACAAGAGAGTTCGTAGAGGTTCTGAGGAGACTGGAGAAGAAATTAGTGTTGTTAAAGAAAGGAAAAGTAGTGGGATAACATGTTAGAATTTCGGTCACATTAAAAGATATAACACTTTTAAAACACACTTGGTGATGTGAAGACAGGAGACTCAAAAGGGATCGTTACCGGAGCAACAGAGTTCGTGCTCTGTGCAACGCTCTCGGCAGGCGGGTGGTCGATCTGTGGAGAGAGACTGAGCCATGTGGGATAAATTCTAGTGCAATGAAGTCAGTCCTCTCATCTTGAAAATTTTATTTTGCTATATGGACCCCTTTAAGTATCCAATGATGTTTGATAAAGAATTGTGCGGTCTAGCAGAATAACCATGCAATATGGAGCGCTGGAAGTTGCGGGCTCAGCTTTCTTGAGGCTTCCTCTAATCCCATATCTTCCCCCTAGAAAATGTGGGCTATCCTCCGAATAACGGTCCCAAATTATCGAGGCCGAAAATATAACCTAACAGGGCCTCAGTCACCTGTAAATTGCGGACCTCTTCCGGCGACCACACAGCATACCGCGGAAAAGCTTCCAACGAGTTAAAGTCACCGCCGAGAGTATCGGCGCCGAGTGGGGCTAAACTAGATGGCTGGGACTCACTAGCAGCAGCTACCTCATCTCCTGCAGCTTCCTTCATTTTATTTGCTCGTGAGTCCCAGCCATCTAGTTTAGCCCCATTCCGCGCGCAGCGGCGCGGGAAATACTCTCGGCGGTATGCTGTGTAGTCGCCGGAAGAGGTCCGCAATTTACAAGTGACTGAGGCCCTGTTAGGGTATATTTTCGGTCTTGATTATTTGGGACCGTTATTATGGATATCGCAACCTTTCGGCCTTGATTCCATTGTAAACCTGTAAGAACATGTGGCTTTCCTGCCTACCCCCGGGACTGAACCCGGGCCACAAGGAGTTCGTCACCCGGTCTCCGGTTTAGCCAACTACGCTAGAGAGCCGGGCACACTGACATAATTAAACGCAGCAAGCTTGAACCCGAACACACGTCAAGAAAACCACTGACGACAAATGTTTACTGCTCCAACAATGTTCCTCTCAGTCAATGAGCCAAAAGGTTTTATATCTAGGGTAACAGCTACTCAAGAACAATTGAATATACGTCCATTGCCTGACCAGGGTTGCCATTTTAACCACTTCAGGTCTCGCAAACTTGCACTCAAAACCACTAGAACTGACGATTTTCATCCATTCCAATGTGTAGGGGGCTACCAGCATAGCCAGGTATTTTAGGGAAACAAGTCGGCAACTTGATCAGCCATTCACTTACTTGATGGATATATTTAGTTCATGGATTCCAAGCGCCACAGGACCGGACTCTCTCAGGATTGAAAACAAGAGTTATCATTCTTACTTTTCCCAAGTTTAAATATTCTATTTCTCTTTTCGTGCACTCAAAATGTCACGACTTCCTCGTCTGGCACACCCCAGCCTAACTGCACGTTTGTCTCCAGTTGGTATCACATTCGATCTGTTCACACATACACTATCATTACTAATCGATGCCATTCATCAGAATTCTCGCATATAATTTACGTTTAGTACTCATCCTTATTTTCAAACGATGAGAAAATTTACCAACATTAGGGGAAATGACTTCTTACACATCCCCTTCCCCCGCCATTTCTTGCGCCCCTTCTGTTTAAAAGGGAGTTCTTGCCTGTATTATTGTTCAACACAAACAGGTTGACTGACATATAACATCGTGCCCACTTTTACGCCAAATTAGATCCAGGCCCACGTATTTCATCAGCTTTCATGTTTAAGTAACCTGAAAATCAATAATAATCAATAATCGTAGACATTAACAACCGGCCCACCTACAAATGGCTGACATGTTGCAATGTTCTCAGTTTACACCATTGTCCGTTAAACACTATCAAACTGGCACTTAGGGCCGACTTGTTCGCAATTTACTAGGAACTGTGTGGCACTCAGTGCGGCCCTGGAGGCTGTAGAAGACTCAGGTTTAAATCATTAATTATTACACGGTAGGTGGTCTGTAGTTGGGGCAGTTATTTGACAACGTTTGTGATGACAGTCCAGTATTTAGGTCTGATAGTTTGGGGTACTTGTAACTGGCGTTTTATATCTCTACCAATATTTTAGGCAATGGAAATTTAAAATGATACGTTACTTGTGACGGAAGTCCAATATTTAAACCCATGATATTTCTAAAGGAAGTCCAATATCTGAAGAGATATTTTATGAAATGTGTGACTTCAACACAGCATGTGAGCTGCATGTTTAGACAGGGATCAAATATTTTGGGACATATTTTTTGCGGGTGTCAAATATTTGGGGCGGATATTTGTGAGGGCAGTCTGATATCTGGGGACAATATTTTAGTTCAAATATTATAGGAGTCCAATATTTGGGGCGGATATTTGTGAGGGCAGTCTGATATCTGGGGACAATATTTTAGTTCAAATATTATCGGAGTCTAATATTTGGGGCCGTTATTGTAGTTTATTTGAGTGGCAGGTCTTGGTCTGATATGACTGCGCTACTGTATAAAAGCAGTAGTAGCTACCTGTTTTCCTTTAACGCCAAATGTTGGTAGACGTTTTCCAAAATCTATGGCAGGGGGTTTTCTCTTTTTCATTTCTTTGTTTGTTCAGTTCGTGTACTAGTTGGGTGGTTGACTGCTAAAACCTTTGGAAGAACTGATGCGTTGTTGTTCGGATTACATCGTTGGCAAAACCCATCCATGGGCCCAAACTTTGTTTTTTGTTTTGTTTTTTAACCCGCTTCTGAACCTTGAGATCTCTCTGTAAACAAAATTTAAAAAGTACGTCGTTGTCTAAAAAGTAATCCTTTATTGTGACCCATATGAGGTAAGAATTCCAGGCCGTGGCATTGAACAGCTCTGATAAGGCACATAGGTGTAAATAGCAAACCTGCACTCAGGTGACTCGGCGTCAGGTGTTAATGTCATCAGTGCCGAAACAAACATGCA